TCTCATTGTCTTTCATGTTGTCTGTACTCTTTTCTTATTCTGTTCTTTTGCTTCACAATGTAAACTTGAAGACCACTTGTTTCATGGATTTGTTGTGCAGGTCGTCTCATTGTCTATTATTTTGTCTGTACTCTTTTCTTGTTTTGTTCTTTTGCTTCACAATGTAAACTTCAAGACCACTTGTTTCATGAATTTGTTGTGCAGGTCGTCTCATCGTCTATTATGTTGTCTGTACTCTTTCCTTGTTCTGTTCTTTTGCTTCACAATGTAAACTTCAAGCCCACTTGTTTCATGGATTTGTTGTGCAGGTTATCTCATCATCTTTCATGTTGCCTGTATTCTTTTCTTGTCTGTCCTTTTACTTTACAATGTGCACTTGAAGACTACTTGTTTCATGAATTTGTGGTGCAGGTTGTCTCATCGTCTTTTATGTTGTTTGTACTTTTTCTTTTTATGTTCTTTTATTTCACAATGTACACTTGAAGACAGCTTATTTCTTGGGTTTGTTGTGCAGGTCCTCTCATTAGTATCATGCTGTCGGTACTCTTTTCTTGTCCTGCCTTTTGCTTTATGATGCACACTTGAAGACCACTTGCTTCAAGGATTAGTTTTGGAGCCTACAGTTCATATAACATGTTGTCTGTATCCTTTTCTTGTCTTTTCCTTTGACTTCATGATTCTCACTTGAAGATTACTTGTCCATGGGTTTCAGTGTGGATATTGCCTTCTCATCTCTCTTTTTTCCAAAAATCCTATTGCATTTTCTCTGCACTAGTTATCTGTGTTTACAAGGTTGCATCCAAGATATTGTCTACATAGTAACTACGACAAGATCACTCATTTGGTGGCATTATTTTGAAATAAAAAAATATTAGTTAAGACCAAAAATTGAGTCAAAATCAAAAATAGAGTTGAGATGTTGAAGAGAAGCTGAAAAGTTTTATTTCATGCAAGTAATAATAAACCAATTGATACACAAAATTTTAGTGTCCAACATTTTTTAGCATCCTTCTAGTACTTAAACTGAATATAAGGCAGTGGGGAAACGATGTTCTTTA